AGCTGGAACTACAGGCGTGCGCTACCACGCCCGGCTAGTTTTTGATTTATTGTAGAGATGCGGTCTCGCCAAGTTGCCCAGGTAGGTCTCGAACCCCCGGGCTCAGGCAATCCAGTCACCTCAGCCTCCCAAGGCAGCCACTGCAGTCTTGACCTGCTGGGCTCAAGCGATACTTCCACCTCAGCCTTCCAAGTAGCTGAGACTACAAGTGTGCATCACCATGCCCGGCTAATTTTTTGATTTATTGCAGAGATGAGGTCTCACCAAGTTGCCCAGGCTAGTCTCAAACCTGTGGGCTCAGGCAATCCTCTTGCCTCGGTCTCCCAAAGTGCTGGGATTATACATCATTTTCATTGTAGTATCTCTGTCGGCATAGATGGCTGACCCATTATGGGATTCCAAATTTGTTAGAACCAGAGGGAGTCCATTGGACCAAATGGTTTTCCAAAATGCAAAACTTCTCTAGTAATAATAAAAAATTATAACAACTATCACATGTACTGAGCAAGTGTTAGATACCTATTGCCACATTTAATCATCACATGACCTCATGAGGTAGAAACTGAGGACCAGAGAGATTAAGCAAGCAGTTAATAGCTGGGTATGGTAGCTCATGACTGTAATCCCAGCACTTTGGGAGGTTGAGGCAGGAGGATTGCTTGAGCCTAAGAGTCTGAGACCAGCCTGAGCAACATAGTGAGACTTCATCTCTACAAAAAAATCATAAAATTTGCCAAGAACTACATTGTGTGCCTGTAGTCCCAGCTACTCAGGAGGCTGAGGCAGAAGGATTGCCTGAGCCCAGTAGGTCAAGGCTGCAATGAGCTGTGATCATGTCACTGTATTCCAGTTTGGGCAACCAAGACCCTGACTCAAAAAAAAAAAAAAAAAAAAAAAAAAACCGCTGGGCTCAGTGACTCAACCTGTAATACCAGCACTTTGGGAGGCCGAGGCAAGTGAATTGCCTGAGCCCATATGTTCGAGACCCGCCTAGGCAACTTGGCGAGATCCATCTCTACAATAAATAAAAAATTAGCTGGGTGTGGTAGCACACAACTATAGTACTGGCTACTTGGAAGGCTGAGGTGGAAGAATCGCTGGAGCTCAGCAGGTCGAGGCTGTGGTGACCGGGAGCATGCCACTGCACTCCAGTCTGGGCGACAGAGTGAGCCTCCAACTCAAAAAAAAGAAGGAAGCAGTTAATAGATCTGGCTTCCAAGCCTAAGCTCTGACCCACAACACCATAACTGCCTCCCAAGAAACCATGGGAAGTCCAGGCAGGGCAAGGAGTCTGGACTCAAGTTCAAATCTCTCTTCTGTCATTGACGAGTTATGTAGGAATACCCGTAATATCTGAGGCGTTTATGGAATAAGGTAGATAATGTGCCTTGGACACATGGCAGGTGACTAAGAAATTTGTAGCTGTCATCAACATCATTGTCCAGAAAGATCTTCATCCAAGCCTGCTTCTAGTTTGATCCTACTGAGTGAGTCGCAATTACAGACATTCACATGCTTCACCCATCTCTTCTCAAGTCTATACTCACAAGTCCTGTTCTTGTGAGACCTGCACTGGCCATCCGCCTAAAAGGAGACCCTCTCATTCCTCCCTTGGCAGCTCCCTAGCCTCCTTTTCTGCCTTATCTTTCTCCTTGGCATGTATTGCATTCTATGTGTGTAGCATATCACCTATATCCACTATACAATTATGGATCTTGTTTATATTCTGCCTACCCAATAGCCTATGAAGATACCACTGCCAGAACGTGCCTGGCATATAGCTAATGCTCAATAAATATTTGCTGTTGAATGACTGAATAAACTCTTGCATGACGTTTTAGATTGGAGTTCAGGGTCTACTTCTCTTTAGTCCTGTGACATGATCAAGTTATTCAGCCTCAGGGCGCCTCATTTTCCTCAGTGCCTCAGTGAAAAAGAGCAATCACATTTGTACTCCTTGTGTCCCTGGCAGAGACTAAGGGAAAAGGCCACACTTGGGAAAGAATCACCTCCAATTACACCAGAAACAGGTGTTGAATGTCTGTTCCATGGCAGGTTGGATGCCAGGCACTGGGGTTTTGGATATGCATCAGAAAGCCCCTGGCCTTCAGGAAATTGCCACCTACCTGGGGAGACAGGCATGTCAACATACACAACCTAACGAGTAACAGCTCTCTGGTCTACAGCAACCATTTATTGAGCTAAGCACTTTGCATGGCCTCATGTAACCATATAACTTAGGTACCACCTCCAGTTCTATTTTATAGACAAGGAAACTGCAGCAAGACCTTAAGAAACAAAGACAGGCCAGGCATGGTAAGACATGCCTGTAATCCCAGCATTTTGGGAGGCCGAGGGGAGAGCACTGCCTGAGCCCAGGAGTCCGAGACCAGCTTAGGCAACACAGTGAGACCTTGTCTCTACAATAAATCAAAAAATTGTCTGGATGTGGTGAATCAACGGAACCCAGCAGGTCGAGGCTACAGTGGCTGTGATTATGCCACTACACTTCAGCCTGAGACTTCCAAAAAAAAATAGAAACAATGACTTATTCCACATCTAGATACACATCCAAGAGAAATGAAAATACATGTACACACAGAAATTTGTGTACAAGTTTTTTCCTTTCCTTCATTATCACTCAACAATATTTTATTTATTTATTTATTTTTGAGTCGGAATCTCACTCTGTTGCACAGGCTAGACTGCAAGTGCACACTCATGGCCACTGCAACCTCAACCTGCTGGGCTGAGGCAATCCTTCCGCCTCAGTCTTCCAAGTAACTGGAATTACAGGCACGTGCCACCACATCTGGTTAATTTTTTTATTTATTGTAAAGATGAGGTCTCGCCAAGTTGCCCAGGCTGGTCTCGAACCCCTGGACTCAGGCAATCGTCTTGCCTCGGCCTCCCAAAGTGCTGGGATTACGGGTTTGAGCCCCCGCGCCCAGCAATTTTTTTTTTTTTTAAGTAACACGCTCTTGCTCTGCTTCCCAGGCTGGAGTACAGTGGTATGATCATAGCTCACTGCAGTCTCCAACTCTTCCTGCCTCAGCTTTCTGTGTAGCTGGGACTACAGGCGTGTGTTTTTTTGTTTTTGTTTTTTTGAGTTGGAGTCTCACTCAGTCACCCAGACTGGAGTGCAGTGGCCACTCCCAGCCACCACAGCCTCGACCTGCTGGGCTCCGGCAATCCTTCCAGCTCAGCCTTTCAAGTAGCTGGAACTACAGGCGCGTGCTACCACACCCAGATAATTTTTTTTTATTTATTGTAGAGATGAGGTCTCGCCAAGTTGCCCAGGCAAATCTCGAACTCGCGGGCTCAAGCAATCCACTCACCTCCGCCTCCCAAAGCGCTGGGATTACAGGCTGAGCCACCAAGCCCAACTGCATATGCCTTAATGCTGGTGAATTTTTTTATTTTTTGTAGAGACAGGGTCTTGCTGTATTGCCCAGGCTGTTCTCCAACTTCTGGCATTACATGATCCTCCTGCCTCAGCTTCCCAAAGCACAAGGATTGCGGTTGTGAGCCACTGTGTGCAATCACAAATTTTTATAGCAATTTTTTTGTTTTGCTTTTTGTTTTGTTTTTCAGTTGTGTAAAGAAGTTTATTGCTATTTTCTTATTCTGTTACACAAAACTAGATTTGCTTAAAACATCTCCCAGTCTCTTTCAAGGAACCCTAGCTAGAGAGAGAGCTTGTAGCAGTGTCATAACCTTAGCAGTGATTTCAAGTAAGTCAGAACTATAAAATCGCTAAGGCCGGGATCCCTAGGGATGGCACTCACCCCCACCGGGGTCCCCAGTCTTCAGCATCAACTTGGCCCCCCGGGCAGGTTGCTACACTTGGAAGCTGATTCCATTGACTGATCTCAAGCTGGACACCTGTTGAGTTGCAGCGGACAGGCTGGGGCTCAGCCTGGCCCTGCTGGGGTGGAGGGGGATGCTGGCCACAGTCACCCTGGAATGTTCGCTGTGGGAGGTCTTGGCATTCCTACAGCCAGCCAGGGGGAGGCAGGCGGGTCTGCCCTGGGTTCGCCACAGTGCAACCATCACTGAGGCTCGGGTGAGCTGGGGGTTGGCGGGGGGACTGGGGCTCAGAGGTCTGGGCCTGGGGGCCCAGGGTCCTTGTTCACACTGTGGGTCAGGTTGGCCAGCTCACGGGTGCTCTCGCCATGGTCTGCCGTGAAGCTGTGGTTGCCGTGTGCCTGGCTGACCCTCCTGGGCTTGCTGCTGCTGTTAATGCTGCGGCCCTTGAGGCCGAGGTAGGCGGCCTGCACCATCTCCAGGTGGTCACCCCTCAGCTGGTTCCACAACTGGGCCAACCTGTCCGAGTGCCTCTGTTCGCTGCTTTTCATGCACGTGAGGAGGCAGCAGGTGAGGAAGGTCATAGATAGGAGGAGGAGGATGGCACAGCTCACGGTGGATGCAATCACCGCCACCTTGAAGCCAAAGGACTCATGTGGTGGCACAGCTGTGCGATTCCTCAGGGCCGGTGTAGTGACCTGGACCCACCCCTGGGGCCACGCCTTGCGGCGGAGGGTCACAGCTGTGGTGCGCATCCTGCACACTCCACAGTGCTGGGTCCGGCCTGCCGGGGACAAGGAGTCATTTTTTTCTTTTTTTGAGTTGGCATCTCACTCTGTCACCCAGACTGGAGTGCAGTGGCATGCTCACGGCCACTGCAGCCTTGACCTGCTGGGCTCAGGTGATCCTTCCACCTCAGCCTTCCAGGTAGCTGGAAATACAGGTGCACGCCATCACACCCGGCTACTTTTTTAACCTATTGTAGAGATGAGGTCTTGCCAAGTTGCCCAGGCTGGTCTCAAACCCCTGGGCTCAGGCAATCTTTTCACCTCCAACTTCCGAATTGCTGGGATTACAAGCATGAGCCACTGTGCCCGGCAACAACAGTATTTATACTAACCAACACGTTGAAAGGACCCATATGGTACTCAATGGATAAATGGATAATCAAAATGTAGTATAGCCTTATGATGGAATAGTACTCAGCCATCAAAAGATGAAATACTGATACACGCTACAATCTGGATGAACTTCAAAAAGATATACTAAGTGAAAGAAACCGACACAAAAGGTGACATATTGTATTATTTGTTTTAGACGATATAACAGGAAATTCCAAAGAGAGACAGAAAGTAGATTCAAGGTTACCAAGGGATGGGAGGAAGAAAGATAGGAGGTGATTACTTAATGGGTATAGGGTGTTTTGTGGAATGATGAAAAATTTCAAAACTAAAGAGAGCTGGTAGTTGCACAACACTGTGAATACACTATCACTAAATTGTACACTTTAAAATAGTTCACTGTATATTACGTGAATTTCACCTCAAAAAGAAAAAAGACGGCTCACACCTATAATCCCAACATGTTGAGAGGCTGAGGCAGGAGGACTGCTTGAACCTAGGAGTCTGAGACCAGCCTGGACAACATTGCAAGACCTCGTCTCTACAACAAAATTAAAAAATTAGCCGGGCGTGGTGACATGTGCCTGTAGTCCCAGCTACTCAGGAGGCTAAGGCAGAAGGATTGCCTGAGCCCAGGAGGTCCAGACTGTGGTGAACTGTGATGGTGCCACTACACTCCGGCCTGGGTGATAGAATGATACTGACTCAAAAGAATAAAAAAAGAAAAGAAGGAAGGAAGGAAAGGAAGAAAGAGGGAGGGAGAGAGGGAGGGAGGGAGGCCTGGCACTGTAAATAGTAGAGAGACTGGAGCCAGGACTTAAACCTGGGCAGTGAGGCTCAGAGTCTGTGATTTTAGTAACTGAAAATCTTCAGTATCATATTTTTCACTTCTGAAATTTCCATTTGATTCTTTTTTATAGTTTCTAGTTTTCTGCTGACATTCTTGTCACCTAATTCCCCAGATGTATTAATCACAGTTATTAGAGTCCTACCTCAAAACCTGGAGGCAATTCCAAATTTCAGGCTCATCTTCCAGGACCATTTCTAGGTGTTCTTGGTAGGAGGGTTGACCTGCTGTGCCATCATGGTGAGAAGCAGGAAACATCTGCTTTCCACTCCCTCGCCCCCACCACGGCTCTTCTACCTATATGATAAAGACTTCAAAATTAAAAATGAAAACATGAAAAATTTAGGCTGATGAAATCATAGATTTCAAAACTGTGTTATTTATTTACTTATTTTGGGACAGTTCTATTTTTTTTTTTTTTTTGAGTTGGAGTCTCACTCTGTCACCCAGACCGGCCACTGCAGCCTCAACCCGCTGGGCTCCGACGATCCTTCAGCCTCAACCTTCCAAGTAGCTGGTAGCACGCGCTACCACACCCGGCTAGTTTTTGATTTATTGTAGAGATGAGGTCTCGCCAAGTTGCCCAGGCAGATCTCAAACCCGCGGGCTCAAGCAATCCACTCACTTCAGCCTCCCAAAGGTGCGGGATTACAGGCTGAGCCACCGAGCCTGGCTGACAGTTCTATTTCATTCTAATAAATACTACACAGCATAATTTCTTCTTTTCTTTCTTTTTTTTTTGAATAGGAATCTCACTGTCTTGCCCAGACTGGAGTGTCAGGGCCACTGCAGCCTTGATCAGCTGGGCTCAGGTGATCCTTCTGCCTCAGCCTCCAGAGTAGCTAGGACTATAGGCATGCACCACCACACCTGGCTAATGTTTAGATTTTTTTTTTTTTCAGTAGGAGTCTCACTCTGTCACCCAGGCTGGAGTGCAGTGGCATGCTCACAGTCACTGCAGCCTCAGCCTGCTGGGCTCAGGTGATCTTTCCACCTCAGCCTTCCAAGTAGCTGGAATCAGGCATGCACCATCACACCTAGCTAATTTTTAAATTTATTGTAGACATGAGGTCACACCATGTTGCCCAGGCTGGTCTCAAACCCATGAGTGCAGGCAATCCTCTCGCCTCAGCTTCCCAAAGTGCTGGGATTACAGGCATGAGCCACCGGGCCTGGCTAATTTTTTGATTTATTGTAGAAACAAGTTCTTGCCAACTTGCCCAGGCTGGTCTCAAACTCCTGGATTCAGACAATCCTTTTACCTCCACCTCCCAGAGTGCTGGGATTATAGGCATGAGCCACCACACCTGTCTCAGTATAATTTCTTGGAAATTAATTTTTTAGACAATGATAAAAGCTGCCATTTATTGAGTGCTTCAAGAAGTCTGACTGTTTTAAGCATTTTACATGTATTAACTTCATTCTTAAAAAATGCTAAGAACAGGCCGGGCTCAGTGACTCAGCCTGTAATCCCAGCACTTTGGGAGGCCAAGGCGAGTGGATTGTCTGAGACCACGGGTTTGAGACCAGCCTGGGAAACTTGGCAAGACCTCATCTCTACAATAAATAAATGGGTATGGTATCACTCGCCTATAGTTTCCGCTACTTGGAAGGCTGAGGTGGAAGGATCACAGGAGTCCAGCAGGTTGACGATGGGGTGGCTGTGAGTGTGCCACTGCACTCCTGCCTGGGTGAAGGAGTGAGACTGTAACTAAAAAAAAAAAAAAAATGCTAAGAACAGGTTTTGCTACTTCTATGGCTGTGGTTGGAGAAACCAAGGACCAGAGAGATGAAGCCATTGGCCCAGGGACACACTGCTTGTTCAGCAGGGAGCAGGGACACAAGCCCAGACCCGGCCAACTCTCAGGCATTCTTCTTAATGACCTAAGAGCAAGAAGTGAGTAATTGTAAGGAATCAGAGTATCCAAACACAAGAGGGCAAGAAAGCCAGAAAATATTTGCCAGTACCAGATGGAAAATGGCAAGGAGGAGGAAGCAGTTGTTTGGAAGCATGTGTAGAGTTTTCTGTTTGGTGGCCCTGGCTCTGAGGACTGGTAACTTAACTTCTCCGGCCTCAGTACCTTCATCAGTAAAATGAGACTGATGAAGGCACCTATTCCCCTGGGCTCTCCCTAGGACTGCAGTAGTCAGCCCCCTTTTCTTTTCTTTTCTTTTTTTTTTTTGAGTTGGAGTCTCACTCAGTCGCCCAGACTGGAGTGCAGTGGCCGCTCCCGGCCACCGCAGCCTCGACCTGCTGGGCTCCGGCGATCCTTCCGCCTCCGCCTTCCAAGTAGCTGGAGCTACAGGCGCGCGCTACCACGCCCGGCTAATTTTTTGATTTATTGTAGAGATGAGGTCTCACCAAGTTGCCCAAGCGGGTCTCGAACCCGTGGGCTCAGGCAATCCACTCACCTCAGTCTCCCAAAGGTGCGGGATTATAGGCTAAGTCACCGAGCCCGGCCAGCCCCCTTTACATCCGCTCTCTCCAATGGAACCTGACCTCCCTGTCGCAGATTTGGGTCAGGGATTGGAAAGCAGGGATTCTGCCTCCTGGGCCAGGTGCACAGGTGCCCCAGCCTTCTCTGGAAGGAAACTAGAGTTGGATGCCAGCCCTGCAAGGAGGGAGAATGAAGAGGGCACTTTCCCAGGTCAGATGAAGAATCTCCTGCACATTCCTTTGGTCCTATAGGGAAGCAGGGCACTACCACCCAGTCAACCCAAAACTTAAAGGGCTCAGGAGACTGCCAGAGCCCCGAATGCTCAGCCTGTCACTCAGTCAAGTGTGTTCACTGAGCCCTCATCTATCCATCAGGACTTTCCTGGTTGCTAGTAATGGAAACCCAGATAAAACTCCTAAAACAAAAAGGAGAAGTGATTAGTCCCTGGAGCCAGACAGTGCAAGGGGTGGTCCAGGCATGCCAGGGACAGGTGGTGACATCATCAAAATCTGCCCCGCTGTCCTGGGCGCCACTTTCCCATTCGCTGACTTCCTTTTCCAGGGGGCTGTCCCCATGTGGTGACAAAGATGCCCACCATCTGCTCCAGTCCAGCTCCTCACAACCCCAACAGGGAGAGCATGACCCTTTCCCAGGACTTTCAGCAAAAGTCCAGAGCTGGTGCGAGGTGGTTCTGATGACTGTGGCCAATCTCCCAGGTAAAGGAAGGTGGGCCTTGCATTGTCCAGCTCTGGATCCCACACTCGCTCAGGTATGAGGGGTGCAGCTAACCATCCAGATACTGACATGGGGAGACATAACTGACAGATTTACTAAGCGCTTACTCTGTGCCAGACACTGCTCCAAGAGCTGGAGATATATTTAAACCTCACAAAACCATCCTACCAAAGAGGTGAGGAAACTGGAGCACAGAGAGATCAAGTTATTTGCCCCAAGTCACATAGCTGGGAAGTAGCCAGGCTGGGTCTCAAACCCAAGCACTCTTAACTCCTGTTGCTTAATTATGTTCCCCACCAGGTACCAGTTCCATGAGGCCAGCTTCTTCATTGCTGTTATCTAGAACCATGCTGCACCTGATCAGGTTGTAAAGGGCTGGCTGGCTCAATGGTTGTATTAGTTTCCCATGGATGCTGTAACAAATTACCACAAAGTTCATGCATGGCTTAAAACAACATAAAGGTAGGGTTGGGCATGGTGGCTCACACCTGTAATCCCAAATGCTTTGGGATGTTGAGGTGGGAGAATCGTTTGATCCCAGGAGTTCAATGTTACAGTGAGCTATGATTACATCACTGTGCTCCCCCCCAAGAAAAAGTATTCCCTTACAATTC